TTTATGAGGTGCGTCGGGGATACATATTGATACCTGTGGGAATCAAATTTCGATCACATTGAGCCTTACAGATATCAAACTTACTCCGAATACGTCAGAGGGATTCCAATTTCGTAGAAGCGGACAGCATTCAGTACTTTCAATGCTTGGCCCATGGCTATAAAGTCGGTGGGATTGTAAAGGTCTAGGAATCCCCATCCAAATTTTGCGGCCTATCTCTTCAATTAGTAACTGAAGGGCCAATTTAAAGCATAATACTTGCACTAAGCAACTTTCTTTGCCAATAAGGATCCCATTCATGACCAGCAGCATCAATACATTCGTTCACAGCCGCAGCAAGGTCTGATCGAATACTTCGTATGTTCTCATCTGCTTTTGGTGATCGTTGTACAAAACTTTCCCAAGCTGCGAACAGGATGGCAGATGATGATGTTGAGCCTGGACGAAATATTGATACCGAAGACACTTATAAAACATGTCAAGGTTCGCTTGCTAAACGTACTACCAAACAAGCTTACCAGGCACTTTCTGGATGAAGTCGCAAACGTCCTGCCCTATGACACGGGCACCATCGGTCTCTGTGACGACAAAGGTAGCACCAAAATACTGATAGCTATTGATATCATATCAGCCATTGATGTGGACGAGAGAGAAAGTCCAAACCGCAGCGTTTCTCCCGCTAGGTTATCTCGTGAAGGCAGAATAAGTGATGCGAGATCATTCCAAGTAACCAAAACTGCGTCGTTACCGCACCATTCCACTTGATTGACCGGTCCTTCGGCACCCACGGTTGCTGTGTCGAGAACGACCAGTTCACGTTGGAAGTCCGTTGAAACGACCCAAAGAAGACCAGAGAAAGTTAACAACGCAAGGAATTTACCATTAGGCGAAGGAGAGACGTGCAAGAATGGTCCACGGGCTACACGTTGATCCGCACTTTCCAGGTTATCCACGGTAAGGATAGTGGCATCCACTGAAAGTAGCACCTCCACATGTCTCGATATCGATTGATCCGGGGGTATAACAGCCCACGAGTGAGGCGGTTCGGATATCCCTGCCAGAAATTGATACATGCTATGCAGACAATATGGATGATGATGAACATACCAGGGTTTGCAAGCGCCAATGGCCTCCCGCCTTCCCAGTCTTTCACCTCTAGGAGAGTCAAAGAGCCTGTTAGGGCAACTAGTCCATTCTCATGTATTCTGGCGTCGATTATACCCAACTCCGCTGCCTCGTTTCCCAACGAAAACTGCTGGTAGTCGCCTTGCAGGTCGTACAAACGATACACGCCCTCCTCATTCAAAACTACAAGTCGCTCATCAAAGGTCCATCCGAACCGCACTATTCGGCCTTGATCCCACTGTCAAATGCGAGTTAGCTAGCCGTTGAACTCTTGACTTGATGCAGAATATCCACACTGAATAGTAGTAAGCCCTCTCCGGCTGGCGAGTATACCTGTATTTGAGATTTCGTAAATGCAGGTCCTCCGCGACCCAGTGCAACCAGCTTCGAGGTGTCTCTCATAAGTGCTAGGGCACCTCTCATCCTGCCATTCTGGATAATTGAATGAAGCACATACCTATCGGCCCACCATTCTTGCACCCAGCAATCAAGTAGTCAGCGATGTTTGGGAGCTTTCCAGGTAGCGTGTACAGTTGCTGACGTCTGTAAAACACGACGCCACTTGAGACTGCTTCCCATGTTGCTGAAGGGTGTTGTACGGTGTCCATCCTTGAATCTGGACTTCAAATCACGAAAGTTCTTCAAGGTAACAGTCGAACCAGGATCTGGCAACAACGACGAACTCGATCGAGGTGAACTGTTCAGACGTAAAATGTTGTGCGACCACGCAAACGGAGAGCACGACTTTCAGGAATAGTACTACTTATGTAATTCCATTGTCCTCATCGTTACTACTGCCAGTACTAGTGCAGCTCCGAGTCGGGGAACGTCCGATCTTCATTCTGTGACCTGACGGGTCTAGCTAGAAGACTAGCTATAAAACACTAAGCCGGACTTGGAATCGACGCGAAGTTACCAACGGCACTTTCCCAACCGAAGGTCGGACGAGGCACCTCAATTGCTGAGCCGATCGCGGGGAACCGTGTCCACATTAATATTCTCAGACTGCTTGTACAGCTGGTGATTTGAGACTGTGAGTACTAGCTAGTAGCCTAGGGGACACACTGGCATCAAACCCCATCCGTTTCATGATATTATGTTTTCGCCTCTCTTTGACAGGTAGATACCCTATCATTCTCCTCAACTACCACACGTAACTCGAGAGTGAATACTATGTTACATGCTCGTCAGGACAGCTGTTTCGAGAATTTCAGTATTGCCTAAGGCTGTAAGTGACATCCAGCCACATGTCTCCATTTTGTGTCTCACCTAGGCACCTAGTAGTCCAGTGTGCACCTCAAAATAGGGGCCCCGGCTGCAAATACATCTTCGTCGAGCCGTTGGTATCCGGGCCAGGCATCGTTCCGATTTGCTCGTCCATGCCTACGTAGAATGTATTGGACTTTGCGTCCTTTTTGTCCCCTCAATGGGAGTTTCATTCACATTGAGGAGGTATGCATTAATCCGGAACGCCACGACGCGAATGGCTCAATATCATATTCAGAATTGTTTGCGCCCTAGCATTCCAAATCGGATTTACCACCTTCACCACCACTGGGTGAACGACCTCCACAATGCATCATCAATTTCCTCAAACATGTTGACTGCTAGTCAAAAATCGACTCGGGACCAATAAGACGAGATTATTACAGGCCAGTGGCAACGTTCAATTGAAATTGGTGAGAATTAGGTGGTTATGACAAGGCCTTCCTCCAGAACAATAGCAGGGTATAAACCACTCTCAGAGAAGGATTTCGCGACTTCCGGCGAACGCAAAGTTCCTCCTACTCAAGAGGGCGAGGCGGTATCGATTGGCATAATGACTTATTTTCCAAGTTGATACACTGGAATGACGATCAGTAGCCTTCACAGGGTTGCGTCAGCTTTGATGTGCATGGAATCGTCTTGTGCGGTATCGGTAAGCGTCCTGAAAACTTTGACATTCATTTCTAGACCGGACCGCTCGGATTTATGATTTAGCTGAGGAAATGACTCCGTCCTATCGAATGTCTCCTTCGTGCCTTGCCAGCCCACCTCTCCCCTTCTGGCTTGGATTAAAATCACAAAAAAGGATTTCACTTCAATCATTGCACCCACTTCCAATCGTTCCTGGGGTGATACCGGGCTCTGACGAAGATCGAGAACTACTCGACGAACTAGAATTGAGCTAGAACAATATAGTTGAATTTGTTACTTTTAGACAAATTGGACGAACAGTCGACCATTTACGCCTTCATGATTCCAACTTAGGACTCGTCCCTTCGCGTCATCATCAGTGACATGCGCCCCATGCGCCCGTATCTCCATCATTATGACAGAGTTTCGACCCCTACCTAGCGTGACCGGGGGAAAATATGAATGCAACCCTGGACGAAACTCCACACACTGGTGCGCACGAGACGCAAGCAGTTAATTTGCATTACGATATTGCTGCAAATTTTTGATGAAACCATAAGATGATGCTATGCATCAAAGTTCAGCCAATTTCTGCGGTGAAAGGGACGGTGACCGACCAATTAGAATCAGCAGGCACATTCGGAGGTTCCGCCTGACAGGTTTCCTTATGAGAAGAACGGCTTACGATCTGATACACGTGAAGTTCTCTGCTCCAATCGAGCGAAGTGACTCCCACCGAACCCTGAAGAGCAGAGCCTTCTCTTTCGAGAATGTGATGACATCCCGCACTACAACATAAACAGCCTAAGAGTTCAGCGATTAAAAAAAAAAGCCACGAGGCAAAAGCTGGAAATAATTTTTGAGGGCATAAACGATGTGACATCCTGCCTCATCTCTCTAATTTTGGTATTGAGTCCTTGAGAATCCACTGATCAGATGCTATTAGAGGAACCCAAGGAGATCTGAGAGTAGGAAGCATAGTATACGCTCATATAATTTTCCGCATGATTGGAGTTCTAACAGCGTTCAACTCGTCGTCTCGGGGAGAAGTCACCCCTAAACAAATGCCATCAAGCGGTGTCCCTCCCGATTCTTCTCGTGCTCCAACGTTCTGCATCGATTGGTCGACTGGATCTTCCCGAGCCAAGATGTCGGGCAACAAACGGCACACTACCCTGCAGGAGTCAAAAATGGTCAAGAGTATTGTATTATAAGGATGCACTAGCCACATATCAGACTGTAGACCCGGATTCCGGGCGCTCCGTTGCTATGCGAATTCGTAGTGACATACTGTGCATGGCACGCTCGGACCGTTGGCCAAACGTTATTGATAGGGAGCTTGATTGTATAGAATTTTCTAAAATAACCAAGCGCTAGCGGACGAGACGGATCATCAGAAGCTCGAGGCCAAAAAAGTTCAAGGCCATCACACTGCTTTGACAACAAAGCAGTGTGGTTAACCCTAGTGACAGTGATGGATGATGATATGATGCTCACATGGGCAAAGCAATCGATTGGTATAGTATGTTGCTTCACCACACTCTCGGTGAGATGCATGTCGCTGCTCGCATATGACCGGTGTCGCAAGTCGCAGCTACACACTAGCTAGTAACGGAGAAATAAAAGACATTCAAAGACTTAAGCAAAAAGCTACCTACCACTGTAGCCTGGACAGGCAAGGGGTCATGAACTCGGGATCGCCCTCAGGCTGGGATAGCCTAGGTTATTGTGTGATGCACTTCAGAAGTCATCCGCCCGTCACGCGATGACAAAACCGAGTACTGGCGAAATAATCAACGACAGAAATTGTACAGTACGGGTTATGCTACTTACACCTGATTCAACGTTTGAACGCTCAAGCGCTAGCGCTCAACGTTCAAACGCCTGTTGAGTCAACGTGTTGGAACGTCAACGAACGTTGAACGTGGCACGCCTGGTTACATAACTTATACTCAGGCTTAAGCACCTCTCCAGCAAAATTTGAAGTTGAAATTGCCCAATATCATCATATACCCTTGTATACCGCGGCCGTGCAACGTTCACACCTTTAAATGATCAGTCCTGATTTATTGAATGATTTGTTAGATGTGAGTTTGATGCTTATCAGTCGCAATGGCGTGATCATTGCTCATCATAATGGGCCACATTCCTAGTCTCCCATCTTAGAGCCGGTACGGAAAATTCTAATCATACCGTTTGGGTCACTTTAAGACTCAAAGCTGATATTTTGGTTCAGCTATCCGAGTTGACGCCGATATCGTTCTCTTATCGTCCCTCCAGTCATGTTCCGTCCGACAAGGCCCCGACCATTCACGCTGTTGTAACGCAGCGAAAGTCACAACTTGCAGCTCTCGACGACCACATCGACCTTCTGACCCGTGCATTGGAAAAATTACAAGGCATCCAAGCTAGGTTGAAGGAGAAACGGGCCATTGTGCAAGAGTCATTTGAATTCTACCAAGCCCTGGCATCTCCAGCATGCTGTTTGCTACCATCAGAGCTTCTTGGAGAGATATTTCTTCGATGTCTTCCCCAGACAAATTATGTTGCACCTTCATCGGATGAATGTCCAATGGTCTTGACAAGGGTCTGCCGTCACTGGCGAGCGGTTTCCCTGTCCACTCCTCGATTATGGGCATCCTTAAGCATATCCTTGCTCAGGGCAGACACAACTGGCGGTGACGAGTACAAGCGCTGGTTAGAAAAAGCCAGCAGTGTTCCGCTGTCCATTCGTGTGGTGCATGACATGGACCTCTCAGATAGGAAAGAGCCTCTTTCCATACAATGGCTCCGACCTTTCTTGGGCCGATGTTCTGACCTTTGGTGGCATGGACCTCCCATCCAAGGTTTATTGGACAACTCTGTTCAGTCCCTGTCACGCTTTCAGGTCACCTTTCAGAAAGCAAATTTCCTGGTCTCCATACCCAGCCCAATGCCGCGACTCCGTTCTGCGGTCTTGCAATCCCTGACTTACGATCTACACTCTCTGCGTTCCATTGACTTGCCTTGGCACCAGCTTTTGGAACTGAAGATACAGTTCGCACTGGTTAGCAGTGCTACTTTTCTGCAGATCATCGGCCTCTGCACGCAAGTTCAACGGGTCAGCGTTTCCTCCATATGTGCGGATGCATTGCTACAGGCGGGCCTGCAACCGTCCCCTTTGATAGGCACGGTGAACCACAGTATTCATAAACTTGAGGTCAATGTTATCCGCGCCGGCTTGGGTAGCCTTTTCGAAGCTCTGACCCTACCAGCATTAGAGGAGTTGGTCATCCGCTTCTGTTCGCCGGATAGATATCCTTGGCCACACGGGCAATTTTCGGCATTCGTTACTCGGTCCAGATGCCCACTCAAGTGGCTCACCATACACCGCAACAAGGGCGCCGAGTCACACCTCACAGAATACCTTAAGATGTTGCCGGGTTTGAAGATAGTGATGTGATCAGGTGATAAGTAATGGACTTCAGTTCTGTACGTGTCCACCTCCTGCGATATCGAGTTTTACTTACTGCTTCTCATTCCTCTCCAGGAAATATAAAATTATAATTCCAGCATCGCCTGTTCTATTTGACTGGACTGTATCGGCCTTCTTTTGATCTTATTAATTCATCATCTCTGAGCCTGACTGTAGATGTTGTCTGTTGTACAGCAGCGCGCGACTTATGCATCACGCAGTCTTACCACAGAAGACCAACATCCTGGCGCTCATGTAGTTTTGGCGATCGCCGTCGCCTTCGACGCAATCACATCAAGAACCAAGTGATGCAAGAATAGATAAGTTTCACTAGAAGTCTTACGTGCCGATTGCAAATTCATGCCTGTTCCATTGTTGTCCAATGACATGTTCGTGATGTCGGCTGTCGTCTTGTTCAGGATGGGAGATGGGAATTGCATTATTCCAGTATCATGTCCCACCAGCTATGCAAGCCTATCTTCGAACATAACATTTATTTATCTTCCCCGCATTGTCCAGATACCAATGTACTGAACAAAGGGATGCCCATGTATAGTTCCAGTATCAGAGTCATCGTCGGGGTCAGAGGAATGTGCCGGTTTCTCGTAAGTTTTATCCGAGCTTTCACCGCGAGCCGCATTCCTGTCACTTGATCCCCTCAGGTGGTTTCCAAAAGAATTGTCTAGTTAAGTGAGCACTCGAGAATCATCGATGCAGAAGATTTGAACCACACATGCCCACTGACGGACACGCTGTATGAAACACGTAAGCATGTATAGCTTTCCTCTCGCATACTCCGCCGGAACACCCATATGTGCGCACGCCTTATGCATATTCGGCATTGGTAGGAACTCTATGCAAGGTCACGACGATTACTTAGACACCCCAAGTGTGTTTCTCTCGTATAGGAATTGCTTCTCTGCGGTGCCATTTCAGGTGCAAGAGATCTGTATTACGACAACGGAATTCATCTGCGCTCTGCACGGTGTCACGCCATGCGCCTGTTCGTCGATGATGCTTCTGTTTGGTCAATGCACACGTCCCTACATTACCTTTGAGACTGTACGGAGTCGCAAATTTCGGCAGTATTAGCAACCAAAATTGCACACACCTGGGGCATTCGTTTGACAGGACAAATCTGGGGAACTTACAGGCGTGTCGTCCCCACGATCAGAAAAGTGCAACAGTCGTTAGATTGTTCAATGAGCTGACGAGGTACTTACTATATGTGGTGCCTGAGTGAAAATCGTTCATCGTCCCCGCTGCCGCTGCCGCTGATTAAGCTAAACAGTCGCAGATCTGAGTTTATATCATCACATGGAGACAGTAAGTACCTGTACCAGGTGCCATGGAGGTACCATGGTGAACGACACCATGGTACCAACAGATGAGCTCAGTTTAACAATATGAAGAAATGAAAGCCCCTTGTGACCGTCATCCTCGTTCTCCGATGGTCTCCGATCCATCATGTTTTTGATGGCAGCAGGCCTTACAATATCCTCACACCGGGACAAGACTGTACCAGTGATCCTGGCGCATCATGCCCAATCAGGACTTATCATGATTTCATTTCCCAAGGCAATGAGGCTTCCGATAACGTTTTTTTCCTCCTAGTCACATCTGGGACAGGCCAAGACTATTACTGGTGTCTCCTGGGCTTTAGGACCCCATGTTCGGGGATAACGATTTGAGGATGTGCGTGTTCGGACCCTACGGCTGAGTTTTAGCGCTACCAAGATTATTCGGCTACCCTTTTCGAGCGTTCGTCTCTTGATATGGGAGGTTTACCAAGTCATGCGCACCCGATCACATCGAGGCGCTGGATAGGATGGGGATGATGCTGTTATCGCAGGTACGCATCCTGTGCATATTACTATGTTCTGGCGAATAAATGGGAATATAGCCTGACCGCGTGGGTCCCCTGCTAGATGTCAATTCGCGCAGTGACACTGATTCTGATGGAGTTCGTCTGCCTCGCTGTCTGTACTCGAAACTTTGCAATACGTCGGCAATTGCAGATCGTTGGCCTGCGAATGAGGGTGCTTCCACTTCAGAAATTCGCTTGCGTTTGTGCACCCCTATTTCTTCTGTAACCCTGTTAGCGTTCATGAGATCTCGTGGTCGGACATGCATAACACGTGTGATCAGATTTACAGCATGACTAACATAATGTGTTTCGGGACGGGTCCATCCTCCGCGGTGTAGTATGGTAGTCACCAGGGACAGGAAGGCTCTGTTACGCGGCACTAGTGATAACGCGCCACATGGATTAACAATGAAAACGGGTCTGATCATGGCTTGGCACAACTGAGATACTGTTTCAATACTCTCAGAAATATGATGCGACTCACCTAGTATACACTTTGCCCCTGGTGACGGAGACCGTGCACTTTCTGCAACCAGGAACACACAAATTGGGGATGTAGTGGAGGGACGACATCGTCTATTAGGTCTACCTGTAGTTGTGCTTCCCAAAAAATTGCGGTGGATATTAGAATAGACATGTATAGTAAGTGTTTTGTGCCAGAAGACTTAACGAAATAAGTAAATATACCACAAAAGGGGGTGAACGTGACCATAACGAAGCGGAAGTTCGGAACCAGCCAAAGAAAATGCAAAGAAGAGTAGTATCGTAAAAATGCATGTCATTCATGAATGACCCTCCACATCCCTCATCGAAGGCAATGTGACCACGCGTGTCTCTCCTATACCTGGGAGATATATAACCTTCACTTGCGACGTTGAGGGTGGCATGCCGCAGTCCTGAGATTGGGTTGGGCGTCTGTGGGTACCAGATGACCACGAGCGGTAACGTGATAGAATCACGGTGTCAAGGTTTGGCTTATGGCAGTGTTCATAAAACCATAGATTGGTTACCGGCGGGCGATGTAGCGCCAATAAACACCATTTGGTGGCTGAAAAAGGTGAGATTACTATAAGAGACGACAATGCAACACTGGTAGCGAACCTGGGTAAACTGGGTTGAGTCATCTAGAAGGGACATATGAGGATTGCTAGACACAAAGAAAAGTGGCAACTTACGAGCTCTAATGCATTCCCAAATATCCACGCCGCGACCTTTAGGATCCCATATTCCGCACTGAGAATACAAGCTCCAGTGCACATTGATCTCCCATATCCTTGTGGCATTTCCGATATATGGAGTTGCGCCAGGCATACTGTTAGGATGAGGTGACTGAATGATGATGGCTAGAAGGAGTTGTAGATAATGGGATAGAACGGACGGCTCTATGTATTGAGAGAAGAGAGGAGAGATTCTTTGAACGATGCCAGGGTAGGGTCGGATCGTCAAATGGTTAGGACTGCTAGGGAGAGCAAGGAGAACATTTATATAGCTGACGGGAAGAAAGGCAATATATTATTGTGACGACCAAAGTAGTGACATCAACGCACATATAAAGAAAATTACGTTAGTGTGACAGCATCGGTTAATAAAGACATTATGTACGAAATTCTCAACTTTCTATATTTGCACATAATCATCTTACTAGCCTGTATGCGCACCGATCGCTTCCCGGCATAGCATATGTGGCCCACGATACTGGTATTCGACGTCACTCAAGGAATGAATCGTACAGTGACTTCAAAGTGAATAAAATATAGTAAAACATAAAATAAAATATACCAAGAAAGTGACCTACCAATTCCAACTAAATGCGTTCGATTGTAAACGTGTTCGATTTCTAGAACTTCACAATGACGCTGAGATTTCAAAGCTCGGATTTCAATCACTCAACGTGACGACATGGCTGCCGCGAGCTGATGGCCTGATGGCAAGTGTTCCATCTTTTTCTTCCGCAATCTCACCTACTTCGGTGTATGACGCATTCATTCCACTAGCAAAAAATATCGTAAGGTCTGCCAGGGTCTACCCTTTGTTCATGATATTTTCCTCTCAGTCCATTGCGGAGATAAGGTAAATGAACTTCAACACGATTGATGGGGTCATCGGTCGGCGACATTCCCTGAATTGCCGGCGGTTCCACGTCTACGGAATAAAAGCGTGAAACAATCGCGAAGAATGCGCAAAGCACACATCAAACAACCGGTACCGTCAGCGGACAAATCGTGAAGAAAGCGCAAAGTAAATTTCGGTTAATATCAAACAACCGGTACCGTCATTAGAAAGGACGTGAATCCATGTGAGTCGCAGAGGCTAACGATGCCTTCGAGAACCCTTTGTGAGAAAAATGACGAAAGTTGTGAAGGAAAATGGCACATGCTCTACTCTCATGTTCATGACAAATCCCGACGCTGTCAATGATCCGGGGAACATTCCGACTATCTGTCCTTAAGTCGGATCTTAACTGGTTGGGATCGGGAAATTAGGGACAAACCAACGTATCTTTAATAAGTAGAAGCGTGTTTCACAACCGAGCAAGTAGAGCTAACTTACTAGGTTGGTGAGAATAGCTTTGGCGACACCTCAGCGAATCGGGTTGTGAGTACGCGAAAGCAGATTACCGGGTGCCCACGATCCCTCTTCGCTCGCATGGCGTACCTCATATAAGCTATCACTCAGCAGACACGAAGCACATTAAGAAGACGTTATCGTCCCTGACCCCAGTAATCTCTGAATCCTGCCCGGAGGTTGTGGGCTGATTGTGTCTTTGCGGGTAAGTGGGGTAAGGACAACCGTATCTGGCTGCGATGTGCATGTACCGGATCCGTAGCAACCAGGAACAATACCATCACCTGCTTTGTTATCTGATATCTCAGTCTTCAAGATATGACTCCATGGTCTGATAACGGATTCTGTCAACATGAGGACGGGAGGGCAAGACCACCAGTCCTCTTGTGACAGGCTTAGGCTATCACCCACCAGGAAGCGTGGGGTAAGAAGATCTGATGCCCTACAAGAGCGTCAATATCAGTACCCCAGTTCCTGAGTGACGCGATTCCGCTCTAGGAGTCCGTGTTGCAAAGTCCTTTGGGAACGGCTCATGACCGGGTGACCGGTGGCTGCAAATCGCCAAGAAGCAATTGTAAGCTACGATTGATTGCGCATGCATCAGGTATTCTATGCAGCAACCTAACACTGTCGCGGTAAGAAGGGAAACGGCATCACCCATCTCATTATTCATAGTCCGGACTATCATAGTTGGGACTTGCCGTGCACCCCAAACTTTTATACCATTAAACTTCAGTAGACATTAGATGAGATTTTTTTATCAAGTCGTTGACGACATACCCCGCACAAAGATGAAATGAGTGCAGCGAATCAAAATACGGACTGGCTTCGATAGCTTCTCGCATGGGCACCATGATGGGTAAAATCATATAGTACTAGCGACTCCTGAGGTCCTTGAACAGCTCCAACTTGAAATAGCCCTCCGGAACCTTGTATTGATCCCGCCGAACGGGTAGTTAAAATTGGTGTCTGCCAAAACTGCGTGCTATAACTATAGTCGCAATGGACAAGTAGCCGAGCTAAGCTAGTAAATATTGGTGTTGGGAACATATAGAGCGGCGAATAGTATGTTTCAACTTAGTAAGTTTAGGTGTTACAAGGGAAGTCACACGATGTCACGGTCTGGCAACTCGTGCACCGCGCATGTCTTTGCCACAAACGTTAACTTTGGTTTCACTTCATCCGTGGGCTGTGACACCCGGCGCTCGATCTACACCCAACTGCCCAAATTCTGAAATAACGTCATTGACTGCGAAGCTCTATCATATCGCTTTAATTTGGGGATGCTCAGTCGACGGATGGTAAGTAGCGAGCAGAAGTCACTTGTAATTAACAACCCTGAACTTTGTTTCTCGCAAAGGCTTTTGGCTGGGGTAGCCTCATTCTGGCTGCCGGAGGCAGTTTTCTTTATGTAAAAACATCGCTCAGAGATCGCAGAAGGCGACAACCTTCTTTAACCGAACGTAGTCCTTGACCCGGAATGATGCGGACTACCGCTCCTCGTGAGTTTGTTCCCCGCTGCCATGTCATGTTTTGATTCCTTTTTTTTTGTTCGAGTCATGGCGCAGACAATTTCATGCAGTCTTTGAAATGTGGCATGCTCCCTTCGTTATCTTGGAGCACAAAAAACCTATGATGCAATAGCGTAATTTTGGCAAATCGCGTGCGCTCCCGAACTTTACTGCTCCACTCATTCGCTGGTTAATTACCGCCGTACTGCGGTGGTATCCGTCTGATAGACGATTACAGTGTTCATGCTCGCAAATGAACGTTATGTGTACACTGAAATTTAGATTCGTCCAGATTTCGATACGGGGTGCCTTCCAAGATTTTGTTCTAGTCTGTCGTCTGAGTTGTGAGGGTAGCGTGGCCCGGGAGCGTGGCCAGACCGTCATCATGATATTGCAAAATCCATTACCCAGTTTAGAGTTAGAGCCCACTATTCGCAACTTCGTGATCTGATGCCACAAGCCAAATATTGTCACAGCGAACATCTATGTTACTAAAATAATTTCTAGGTCTCGATCTTTCGAGGTACATTTGTCGTAGGTGGCGTTGCACTATTTTTGCCAATTCCCACTGACATCATAGAATGAAAATTCCGCACCACAGGGAGTGCTATATCCACCTGCGTATCTTTTATCCCGAATGTCGACTTACTTCTGAACGTCATATTTCTCGTCAACAGAAGCATGGAGGTATGCTAGGTGCCAACAGCGATGGTCACACTGCTTTCTCCAAGTGTCTTCTCGACCTGACATATTCGTCGAAGAACTCCAACGTATATGCCCAAGCGTCCGACGGGAGCGGCAGTGGACGAACTTGCGAATTCACCAGTGGGCTAGCATGAGTGACGAGAAAGACACCAAACGCTGGAGGGCAAAGGTTGCGAGAAAGACTTTGGCACGATATAATGCTACAGTCAACACTGACAATGTTCCTTCAAAATCCAAGTCATTCCTCGGTTTCTACTTTACGGTACTCTGGATGTTAATGTTCGTTTTCAACCTAAAGATACTTACTGATACTTGATGTCCCTTCCATTAGTCGTGTTCTTGAGGTCAAACCAGTCACGATCAAACATAGCTAAGATTCTTACAGCGGACATGATTCCCTAGAGTGTGCTCATCACTTTTCAACCATACAACAGTATTTGTTTCGTGTCTGCACTGAAATATATTTATGGCAAAAAAGAAATAAAATAAGTCCAACAAACTTACGATCAAAATCCCTCGGAATTAGAACAATGTGAGCTGGACGACCTCGACAAGCCTCTCAAGTTCCCGGATTCACATGTGTCTGCTGGCAACAATAACGAGAAGATGAGGTACCTTTCAAGACATCAGTCAGCGTGGCTCGTTCACCTCTTGCTGCCGTCAATAACGTCGCGCATAGGTACGTTCCGTGCTTGTTCGTTTCGTCAAGGACAACGAACTCGGAGCCATCACCAACGGAGTGATCTTGAATTCCTCTCGACAAGCTTCGTCGTGTTTGATAGCGAGCTTTCGTAGAACTCTTCGCGTCAGGCCAGCTTCTTTGAGATTGCAAGAGAGCGTAGAAGGACCCATAATGATATCGTGCTTAAATGCAAGCCATGTGCATATTTCATCGAGGTACAAGTTCGACTTCTTTGCAAGAAGGCCTTGAATGAATGACTTTCAAGAGTGTCCGTGTAATGCGTCTAATGAGTGGTGAAGGAGGTTTCTCGACAGTGTCGTGTTCTTCGAATATCGGTTGCAAGTGAAAATAGCTTCTCCGCGAGCTTCACGGGTACTTTCCTACTCTTGTCCGTGATCGATTGATCCCACAGATAAAATGCGCATCCTTTCAGGTCTTGCTGACCTGCCGGTTGATCATGGTTGTGAAACTGACAATACTGATGAGGGCGTTCAAGTTGAAGGGCATGACTTCCTTTTTGGTCAGACCCACAAATTTTGGCTTGTGTCATTACTTCCTCAAAACTGCCTCTTGCTTTAAGCCTGCTCGTCGTTCTGAGCATTCATGAAGGCAAATTACAAGGTGAGACTTTGTACCAATTAGCAGAAACAGAAGTTCATCGTTTGTTTAGTTTTCCAACATCTGTGGGACAGTTTACCAGCAGGGGAACATTATTTTTACTCCCGATGGCAACACACTGCTGAGTCCTGTCGGGAATCGAGTATCAGTATTTGATTTGGTGAAGTAAGTGCATCATGTAGTATATGAGAGATGCTGAAGGATGACGCTCTTCCTAAGCAATAAATCCCGAACTCTGCCAGTCGAGAATCGTAAAAATATTGCTGCAATTGCCCTCAGTCCAGATGGGAACGTTCTGGTATCTGTCGATGAAGGTTCGTTGGGGTACTTGTAGATCTTGCGAATACTGAACATTTTGCGTAGATGGCAGAGCGTTGCTAGTAAATTTCAAAAGAGGCGTGGTATTGCATCATTTCAACTTCCAAAAACCGGTTCAGGATATACAATTTTCACATGATGGAAAGTGAGTTCTGCATTTTTTTTCGTGCGATCGATGGTTCTCATCTTCTGATCACCCTTTAGGTTCATCGCGGTGACCCATGATTCCCATGTGCAAGTTTGGCGCACGCCAAATCACCTAGTCCGAGAGTTCGCACCATTCGTACTTCACCGCACATACACGGGGCATCATGCCGAGGTATCCAGTATTCGATGGTCACCGGATTCAACGTGAGCGCATTTAGTTATTGTTATTGACCACTAAGCTCAGTGAAACTAGCTGCTTCATAACGACATCGCGCGACATGACTGCCCGATTATTTACCCTTGATCCCTTGGAAGGGTTTCGACCAAAAACGTTTGCTGGTCATAAGGACGCTGTGGTTGGAGCATACTTCTCTGCCGATGGCAAATTCGTAAGTGAAACTTAGTCTTTCGTCTTGCCTTTGACTTACATATGCTCAGATATACACTGTCAGCCGTGATGGTGCTGTGTTCACATGGACAGCCAAAGACGAGCCAGACGACGCTGAGGAGCCACAGCTTGTTTCTTCAGCTCTCGCACATTCAATTCCTCAGACAAGGTGGGGCGTATATGACCGCCACTATTTTAATCTCCCACACACGAAAGTTGTCTGTACCACCTTCCACCCATCTTCCAACCTCCTAGTCGTTGGATTTTCTAGTGGGGTGTTTGGGCTTTGGGAGCTTCCGTCATTCACAAATATCCACACTCTGAGCATCTCGCAGGAGAAGATATCATCTGTTGCAATATCTCCAACCGGAGAGTGGCTTGCCTTTGGCGCACGTAGGCTTGGTCAGCTCCTTGTCTGGGAATGGCAATCAGAGTCCTACATCCTCAAACAACAGGGACACTATTTTGATATGAACACGCTAGCTTACGCTCCAGACGGGCAGACCATTGCCACAGGGGGTGATGATGGCAAGCTTAAGGTCTGGTCCGTACAAAATGGCTTCTGCTTCGTAACCTTCTCAGAGCACACTGCACCCATAATGGGCATCACTTTCGCGAAACACGGCTCTGTTCTCTTCTCCGCATCTCTTGATGGCACCGTTCGTGCATTCGACCTAGTTCGGTACCGCAATTTCCGAACTTTTACATCCCCTTCTCCTGTTCAGTTCTCTTCCATAGCAGTCGACCCATCAGGAGAAGTTGTTGCTGCAGGCTCAACAGACACATTCGAAGTCTTTATGTGGTCAGTCCAGACCGGGAAGCTCCTCGACATCCTCGCCGGCCATGAAGCACCCGTATCTACGCTTGCCTTCTCACCAACGGGTGCCAATCAACTAGCGAGTGGTTCTTGGGATCGCACTATTCGCATTTGGAGCATTTTTGGCAGATCACGCGCTGTGGAACCTCTTACACTCTCCTCCGATGTTCTCTCGATTGCGTTTCGACCGGATGGCGTGGAGCTAGGAGCGTCTACGCTTGATGGCCAGATCACATTCTTTGATGTGCGATCAGGAAAGCAGTCAAATGTCATTGATGGCCGCAAAGATGTTTCTGGAGGACGAAAAGCAGACGATCGAGTCGCGGCTGCCAATAGTTCCTCCACGAAGGCGTTCACGAGCCTTGCATATACTGCAGATGGGTCATGTGTACTTGCCGGTGGAAATAGCAAGTACGTTTGTCTATATGACGTACGTGAGGGAGAGGGAGTGCTTGTGAAGAAGTTCCAGATTTCAGAAAACCTCTCGCTAGATGGCACTCAGGAGTTTCTAGATAGTCGCAAGGTCAACGATGCGGGTATCAACATCGATCTGATTGATGACCGCGGCAATGCCAGCGATCTAGAAGATAGGATGGATACGAGTCTACCAGGTGCATCGAGAGGAGCAGGCGACATGTCCATACGAAGGTACCGGCAAGAAGCACGCACTAAATGCGTGCGCTTCTCACCAACAGGGCGTGCTTGGGCAGCTGCAAGCACCGAAGGCCTCTTGATCTACTCTCTAGACGACACTGTTATGTTTGACCCTTTCGACCTCACAATAGATCTCACTCCGCAAGCTGTACTCAATATCCTTGCGGAGGGCGAGTACCTGAAGGCGCTTGTTCTTGCATTCCGCTTGAATGAAAAACCCATTATACAACAAGTTTACGAGCGCATTCCACGCAGTGATATACGCCTTGTTGCACGACAGATGCCTAATATTTATATCCCTGCACTCCTTCGATTCACGTCGGAGCATCTGGAGAAGAGTCCTCATCTCGAATTCGACCTCATTTGGGTGCAGGCTGTGATTACGGCACATGGTCGCTTCCTGAGGGATCACAGCGGTGAATATGCACCTGTATTGCGGGCGGCCCGGAAGGCATTAGGTGACGTAGAGGGGTCAATATCACGGCTGTACGTTTCTACCTGCATCCATAGGCGTTTGCGCCTCATTGATTGTTGTCCAGATGCGACGAAAATACGTCAACGTTGCAGTACCTCATTGACCAGTCGGTGGTCAAACATGGACTAGATACTGACATGTCATCAAACGCTTTGAATGATTGACTACCCAGTGAGTTATGACTTTTAAACATTAGGCTTGTCGTCTTACTAACGGTAGTACCTAGCAATAGGTGTCGTATAGAAACATGTTACATATCAAATAAAAGTAGATTAGACAGGTGCAAATTAATGGACTTTCATCGTACAAGGGGGACCAGCAAAACATTCCTCATTCCCATGACATCCTGACTACTTCTTGACAGGTATTTCTAAGCGACGGTAACGATGCTGAGAATGCAATTTCTGGAAAGTAGTCATAACACTCACTGTCACTGTGCCTCTGATCCACACCCCGATAGCCCCAATAATACGCAAGCCCTGTTCCAGCAATGAGAGCTGCGGTCATGATGAACTGCGTGATCCAAATGATGAGCGGTCGCAGTCAGTACTGATTCACTGAGCGCACAAATCTGTTCCTTGGCGGCTGATTATGCCAGTATTTCTGGGACATATCTCCCTGCTGGCGGAAATTAGGGGTCGGATGCATCTTGGAATTGTTTCTTCGCTGAGATGGTGGTTGTTGTCGAAAGAGATCATAGGAGAAGATGACTTGAGTATGATGTCACCTGGTTGGTGATGTTTACGTCTCTGGATCTACGGGTAATATCCCTAATCGCTATCTACTCCCATTGCACGGCGAGCGGTCGATGATACTTACTTTCAGGCTCTGCGGGAATCGTGTTATGTAAATGGCCATCGAGATGTTGCTGCTTTCCATTCTGATCAAGGTTTCATTTTGTACTGCCCATGTCTATATTTCTTACGCAGCTCGAGTCTGGCACTACTCATTAATCATTTTTTGTTAGGTTTTTTTACAGAATGGCTACTACGCCCAGCAGTTCCATGTTCCATCACTTGCCTTGAATGTCTATTGACTGATGCGGCTAATTCTGGTTTGTGTAATGCCTCACATTCACAGAGGCTACATTTGCGGACCATGCCCAACCTTATGCGTGCCATGTGCTGCAGCGGACAGCAATGTATACTTGTATGAACAACATGAAAAACAGCGGGCTGCAACCTAATCTCCGTGACAATTGCAACAAGCGCATAGAAACATACTGGCAAACCAGCTGGAGGAAATCCTTCAGGTACATGCTTATTTATCCTGGATCATCCACAACTGCCTTTTGATGGGAGGCTCCTGTTGGTCCTCAAGGGTGACCTGCAACGAACATCAGGAACAATATGGTACCACGGTCAATGGGCTAGCATCACCGATCCATTATTTTCAAGTTCCAAAGTATAGACGCTTTGATCGTCTTTGGAGTCATGGGGGATTTGGAATCTGCACCTCATCGTCAGTTGATAGGCATGGTCTGAATCGCATAATACGCACGCGACATTTCCGCCTACGAAGACCAATTTCCACCAGTGCTCAGTGTCGCTCATGATGACTTGCTTGCCCGACTGCAAATTTGTGCAAAGAGGTGAGATTGGCATCGGAACCGCTTCTTGCAGACACTGACGTTCCACGACAAGTAATCTCCAGTATCCTTGTTCTGGACCGACCACAAACGCATGTCTGTTTCTTTGACATATTTATATCTCGAGGTCCACTATTGATATCACTCCTCAGCGCAAGGGTCGGAACTTCATCTTTGGCTATCTACTGACCCTCTGATTGTCAGTCTGATTGAAGGCTTGGCCTTCGACCTTCGTGTGCACACCGTCTCTGTGCGTCCCCAACACGAAGTCAGGGTCACGCACATTTACAAGGACACCGTTGATAGACATGATAATCGAAATTTGTTGTTGGGGAGGCAAGGAAGAGAATACGAGAAGCGAGTTGGTCTTCATAACATCATTTATATGCGTCCTCAGGGTACAGACTCGGCGACGGCATTCTGCCATCACGGGCACCACATGCGCTTCTGAATCGCGTAAGCCGCAGCCTGAGCTCAACGCTGATACTGTAATTGCAACTCGCCGCCTCGTGACTCGTATCAACCATCGTGGCCACTACTCTGGAACTTTCAAGGAACTATCATCATTCCTCGTTTTCGCCTGCCAAGAATGTTTGTCGATGAATTTACCTCATCCTGTCACTTTCACTTCCATTGCGGAAGGAGTCGAGCATCATTTCTCGATTAAGAGCATATTTCTCAGCAGTAGCTACTACATACCCTGCCCTGGCACTTCCAAATGGCTTTATAAACATTCCTCAATTTCGCTTCGCGGGGAATGTTTGATCGCAGGGCAGGATTATTACTCGACTTCTCAGCGCTCAGCATTGACTATACATAGTGCATCTATTGCAAAAGAAGTTTCGAAATTTACAAAGCATTCGTCTAAATCTTACTGGTGGGGAATATTTAGCACATTGTCAGGACTTTCGAGAGATCAGTTGATTTCCCGTATCAATGTCCATGTCCCATCACTTGCCTCGAATGTTTATTGACTGTCCGAAGTCAGTTAAATCTATACGGTAGATTCCTTCTCTGTGGAACCGTCCTTTGATTTTGTATCATCGTTGCAGTTCGCCATCTTTTCCTCATACCCAGATACATCTATTTCCTCAAATCTGTCAGCAGCTCCAGGAACCGGAAACATCCTGCTCAATATATAGAACACGATACTTGAAGTGCCAAATCCTGTGAAGAAGGACAAGTCGAATATGTGAGTCGCAGCAGCTGGTACGGGTATTCCAACTGTGGAACTATGAGTACCGCAAGCAAAATACAAACTAACAGGGACGTACTATCCCCAACGAACCCCACTACATTGATGGCAATGCCTGCCACGTATGCTGCGTACGCTCTTTAAACTCAAGTGAGCGATGGAGAGCCAACATTTCTAGTCTTCCACAGACCTGGGATTGAAACCATAATTGTACCAATACCAACTTCCTTTGCGGGTGACGTAGAGGTCGGCGACGTTATAATGGCCCTTGCGCACAAACCAGTATTCAGCGGCCTAGAGGCATATTAAGTCTGAAATAAAATGCGATACAGATCCAGGTGCACTCACCATAACTCCCGCGATCGCGCTCAGGAAGACCGTGTACGCAGACATATAGGAGGAAAAACGGCTGCTGCTTGCTACCAGATTCCAGGGACACATGACAAGTCCGACAATTGCTGATATATACCCGCCGCGTCTGACATTCTGTGATGAAAATAAGTACTTCCTGAAATCAATGCATGAAGTAAATAATTTACGATGAAACGTGGACATAGCGCCGTCAGATCACAACCCGCACTGACTGAGTTAGCGCTGATGTTCCCTCTAGAAACGGGCGGGGTACAAAGTATGAGCTATGACAGCGACTCGTGCGTCCATTACATACCCTATCTGAGATCAATCAGTATTAGATCTTCAAGGAAGTTGACATGATGCCTACCTGAGCTATAATGAGAGAGAAGGCGATGAACCAGACCTATAATGATCTTCTCGTCAGTGCAAAACAACCTTGCATTGTTCATACTCACACCAAATCGAGTGGCAGGGGATGGGTTGTCGTCCAAGAACATTCCTAGCAAATCCACGGGCGACCAAACTACTTCCCCGTAGATTGCTTGTGACGATGAGCTGACGATCACACCGAAGAGACAGACTAAACCATAAGAGAGGGGAATGGACCAGAGCTGGGAAATGATCGGTGTGGATGGAGTCTTCGCCCGTGACCCAAAATCCGGCGCGTTCCTACAAATATGGTAAGATTATGGAGATAATACATGAAAGCATAGCAGGCATACGTCGTCAATGTTATGAGGTTACTGATGCATATACCAATATTGCTGATCATGGCCCATGCCAGTTCGGAGCCATGGATAGTCGCCGGCTGTTTGACGATCGGTCCAACACCTTTTGCCTTGACGATGCACCAAATCATAAAGATGACACAGGCAATGGGTGAGACGATCGTCTTGAACGTGAAGAAATGACGACTGTTGCCAGCTCATCAGTAATCCGTCCGAATGAACTTCTCTAAACGTACATTTTGTGCACGGGAGGCCATATGAAGGGCAAAGATATAATCCAAAAAATGAGGAAGCACATGAAATCCCTGGTATTAGTGCCAGAGGACAAGGGCATGGAATTTGCTTCGTCGTATAAGGTATCAGATCAGATCACGAAGGACCAACTCATCAATAAACTCACGGATATTATTAACACTTGGCCAGATTGTACGGAGCATCACTAAAACGCATGAACCGCCGATACTCGATTGCACTCCGTACCAGATACTGCAATGCAGTGAGTACAGCACGGCGCAGAAGACATCATACCTACCATGCCATCGTCGCTCTATTGAATACACACCACAGACTTCCAAATATTCCGAAGCTGGCACGGTTGACGACAGGGAAGGTAACATGAAATACAGCACCCGGCCGACCCAACAGGACGACAAACGGCGTCATCACACCGTAACCAATCCAGATAGTCAGCCAGGCTTGCCACCACGACATGCCCATGACGATCATGCTAGAAGTTATCATCCAACTATCGGAGAACCTGTATGAGTTTATACTACAAGCTGAAGATTTGCAACTAACCTTCCGACATTTATCTGCGAGCAGAGCTTCATAAGGGTTCTGTCATTGTGACGATTCACTACTCACTGACGTGCTCGCCCAGCTGGCCAACAAGCTTGTTAGTTGTGCAGTCAATCCAATAGATTGCAGCCCTCACAAAGCGACATAACTGAATGCAGTCCACGTTCTTTCCTCTATTGGAACTGGCAGTAGATCGTCGCTCTGAGGACCCATACAGTAAGCTTAAACTGTTGAACCTAGTAATCAGAACTTGAAACTCACCGAAACAAATTGCAGGTCGGAGGGAGCACGCTCTTCTCGAGTATGGGGAACCTCGAGCGCTTTGAGCAATTGTCTTGCAAAGTCCATCAGTTACGATAAGCCGTAGACTCTGGGCACAAAAGTGCAAAGTACACGTATTTAAGACAATCCTCTTATCTTTCCTGAACTGTCAAACTGCATGAATGTATTTTATGTCAGGGGTTAAACGTATGCCTTCTACTGCGGTTGCTAATAGAAGCTTGAGAACAAGGTCATATCATGGCGTGCCTAGTAATGTCAGAGGATCAGCATTTCGCAGTGGCAAATGACTCGTGAGGTGACACCTGACCTTCCCGATATGTATAGTTGTGGCTCGCCAATGGCACTATCTAACTAGTCGTTTCCCCCGACACCAGCAATAGATCCTGCCCCACGTCCTTAGGATTACTATCTACCTACCACTGACCAGGCTCGGGCAAGTACGTTCCGTTCCGTTATCCGGCAACCCCCGCTTCCTCTCCTACAGACTATTCCCACGCCACTCCTCCTCTCCTCAATGTCTAGCCGTGCCAGGGATAGAGGGCGAGACAACCGCAGTGGGCCTGGGTGAGTTTCTGTTGTGTAACATAGACTACTGTTAAAGACGTACTCTATAAGTTGTGAGGCAGTCCTAGCGGCCTGCCCCTCAGAGAACGAAGGACTGATAGACGAAACACAAGAAGCTAACAGAATAACATTAACAGGTCCAGAGAGGCCCGTCAGGGCTATAGTTTCTGAGCCTTTCTTGGATGTATCCAATAAAATATTTATAAACTCACAGGACTCAATTTCAAATTTGTCAGTCAGAGTCACGTGCGCGCGTTATAGGAACGCGTCGTACTAGCCTGAGGGTCCACAACCGCCACATCAATTGATCAATGGTCTACCGTATTTGTGCCACATTGGTCGACCGGAAGCAGGCAATCGTCTTTCTTGTCCTCCTAGTTTTCTCCACCGTTCTGCTCACAACATGGTCAGCATAATCATCAAATCCCTAGCCTCATGTCTCCTGCTGGCGAGACTGGCACATCGTCTACTCTGCCATGCGCCAATGTACCAACCAGTTCATGGTGCTGGTAAAATTGAATCCACTCCAAACAGCCGCGGGGCTTCCGTCGTCAGCGAGAATATCGGCGTGCTCGGTGTCAAGTGCGCACTTGTCCTATTTTTATTGAGTAGCATCTGACATTCCATCAAGGATTAAGGTATATGACTGCACTCGTAGAGTCTTCTGATGTCGAGACAGCTTTCAAGGAATAGTGAGTACTTGTTCTGAGGTTGGTTGATCGAGCATTTTCATGGTTATAATGGTTGCAAGCGTACGTCCAGGAGTAGAACACAATTTCTATGGCCCTCTCATAAGAGCCACTAACATTGCTCTCGCGTGCCTTGAAGAAATAAAGGTTGACGGGATGTGTGTTCCTGTTCCTGCCGTGGACATGATCTGTCAGCAGAACGATATGCCCATGCACCAAACCCACCAGACTGCGAAATCAACTCGGAAGCCCGACCCGGCATCGATGTACGTGTTTCATCGCATTTATGAGGCTCTTCATTGACATGGTGTGCAGGTCACCTTACTTTGTGGAAGGAAGGAGTCTATCATCGAGATGTCAGCCCTGGAAACCTGATGTGGTACTGGAAAGACGGGAAGCGAATAGGTATTTTAAACGACTACGATCTATCCTCATTGGTAGATTACCCAGGCCCTCGAGGCAACGAACGCACAGGAATGGTGCTGTTCATGGCACTTGATCTTCTCACCATAGAGGGTCAACGAGGCGAAATCAAACACCTATATCGTCATGATCTGGAGTCGTTTATGCGGTGTTTCGTCTGGATTTCCTTGCGTTACAGGGAGGGAGTCCTTTTATCATGCGGACTGCACTCTTTCGATGAATGGGCAACTTTAGGCGCTGTGGCATAATCAGAGGCACAGCACGTGCGGATATTGAAGACATGCATGGTTTTTCAATGTTAATGGTCGAGAATCATTTTTCTTGCCTCACGCTCACGGAGCCAACTACACGCACGCCTATGTGTCACAGCAGACAACAATGCATACTCGTACAAGAGACATGAAAAACAGCGGGTTGCAGCCCATTCTCCGTGACAATTCAATGTCACGTTCGTCGACAAGCACGCAGACTAACACATTCGCGAGACAGCCAAACGAAATCCTTCAGGTGCATGTTTATTCATCCACGGGAGTCCACAGCTGCTTGCTGACGGGCTGCCCCTGCTGATTCTCGAGGGTGACCTGCAACGAGCATCAGGAACAGTATGGTACCACGGTCAACGGGCCACGTCACCGATCCATTATCTTCAAGCTCCAAAGTATAGTAGCTTTGATCGTCCTTGGACGCGTGGGGGACTTGGAATCTGCACATCATTGTTAGTCGGTAGGCCTGGTCTGAATCACGCATGATACGCACGCGAGATTCTCGCCTACGAAGACCAATTTCCACCAGTGCTCAGTGTCGCTCATGATGACTTGCATGCTCGACTGCAAGTTTGTGCAAAGAGGTGAGATTGGCATCGGAACCGCTTCTTGCAAATACTGACGTTCCATGACAAGTAATCTCCAACATTCTCGGCCTGGACCGACCACAGACGTGTCTGTTTCTTGGACATATTTATACCTCGCAATCCACTATTGATGTCACTCGTCAGTGCCAGGGTCGGAACTTCATCTATGACTATCTACTGACCTTCCGATTGTGGCCTTTGACCTTCACATGCACGCCGTCTCTGGGAATCCACAACGGAGCGTCAGGGTCATGCACATTTACAAGGACACCGCTGATGGGCATGATGATTAAGATTTATTGTTGGGAGGCAAGGAGGAGAATATGAGAAGTGAGCTGGTCTTCAAACTTGCAATTGTAACATCATTTATATGCGCATCCCTCAGGGTACTAGTACAGACTCTGCAACGACATCCGGCCTTGCTGGGCACCACACATGCTCCTGAATTGTCTCGTGACTCGGGTCGGCCATCGTGACCACCACTATAGAATTCTCAAGGAGCCCTCGGTCATTCCTCGTTTTTGCTTCCCAAGAATGTTTGTCGATGAATTTGTCACTTCATTACCAAAGGAATTGAGCACCATTTCTCAATTAAGGATTGGTTTCGACTACATACCACGCCCTGGCACTTCCATACTCGCTTTTCCAGGAATATTCTTCAACAGCGTTACGACGAGCGTTTTCCTAGATCAGTCGCTTTTCCAGCTTAGCAACTCCCATGGCGGTGAATTGCAAATGGGTTTGCAAACATTCAACAAACATTCCTCAATTTCGCTCGCGGGAAATGTTTGTTGATCGCGGGGCAGGCTTATTACTCGACTTCTCGGTATTGACTACATAACGCTTCCATTACAAAAAAACCTTCGAAGTTGACAAAAAATTCATCTATATCTTGCTTGGAGAATGTTTGCCAATCGCGGCGCATTGTCAGGACTTTTGAGAGACCAGGTAATTTCCCGTATCCACGAGAAATACAGCTCTAGTGTCGGCTTTTCAGTTCAAGAAGCGTCTTTGGTTGTGTATGGCTGGGTTCTTGCATGTCCAACTGCCTTGAACCCAGCATGGCACATGCACCCCTTTGTCTAATAATTCAGCTCCAATGGCAATACCCTCTTCTGCCGCTCGTTGGCTCTGGCAATATACTCGAACTGAAGCCAAGGAACAAAATAGTCAACAGCGGGAGCAGCTATCATGAATGCGGTGGGCTTGAGGCTGCAACTTGCAGATCAAGTCGTCATTAAGTTGGTACTCGAGTTTGGCACTAAGTGCTTGAACTGAATTTAAAAGCCGATACTAGTGCTGTACCTCCATCGATACGGGAAATCAATTGATCTCTCGCAATGTGCTAAATGTTCCCCGCAAGTAAGATTTAGACAAATGCTTTGTGAATTTTCAAGCTTCTTTTGCAATAGAAGCGCTATGTAGTCAATGATGAGCGCTGAGAAGTCGAGTAATAATCCTGCCCAGCGATCGACAAACATTCCCCGCGAGCGAAATTCAGGAATGTTTATAAAGCCATTTGGAAGTGCCAGGGCAGGGTATGTAGTTACTGCTGAGAAACATGACCTTAATCGAGAAATAATGCTCGACTCCTTCCGCAATGGAAGTAAAAGTGATAGGATGAGGTAAATTCATCGACAAACATTCTTGGCAGGCGAAAACGAGGAATGATGATAGTTCCTTGAAAGTTCCAGAGTAGTGGCCATGATGGTTGATACGCACATACTTCAGTCATAGCCCTATGTAGAAGTGGTGCCCCGGATGTGCCAAATGGCCCTAGAATGGGTACCAGCCTGCACCGGCCTATACATGCACATTGGTGCCGGCCAAGGGTGTTAAGGTGGTACTGGCCAACCACTGAAGTGGGGCTGCCTATACGTGAAGGCTGACCACAGGTGTAGGGGTGGTACTGGCCGACCACTACATATACATGTACATTGGTGCTGACCACAGGTGTGGGAGTGGTACTGGCCGACCACTGCCTACACATGTATATTGGTGCTGGCCAGAGGTGTGGGAGTAGTACTGGCCGACCACTGCCTACACATGTATATTGGTGCTGGCCAGAGGTGTGGGAGTGGTACTGGCCGACCACTGCCTACACATGTATATTGGTGCTGGCCAGAGGTGTGAATGTGGTACTGGCCGACCACTGCATATACATGTACATTGGTGCTAACCACAGGTGTGGGAGTAGTACTAGCTGACCACAGCCCATAGATGTACATTGGTGCTGGCCAGAGGTGTGGGAGTGGTACCGGCCGACCACTGCCTACACATGTATATTGGTGCTGGCCAGAGGTGTGGGACTGGTACTGGCCGACCATTCAAGTGAGGCTCCCTATACACACACATCAGTATCAGCCAACACCTTAGGACATGGAAAATAGAGTTGGCCTGACTAAGTCCAAGTCATGTAGAGGCAGGCAGTTCAACAACTTAAGGCATCAGAAAAACTTAACATTGTTGAAGAACCTTATGGTACTTGGCCAAGTCTTTCCAAGACTTGCACTAACACACTCAAGTCCAGCAAGATATTTGACTTATACCAGTTTGTCAGTATCAGTAGAAAGGCTAAGTATACAAATATATTTAAGTTTTTCATGTCCTATGTGGTCTGGAGCATCATGGTCAAACACAAGTATCTAAAACAATTCAGGAATGATAAGGAAAGTGTAGGTTTCCTGATGGCATTGATAATAGAGTCGGCCGGATCAGGTCCAGGCTGTGTATGGCCTGGCCGGCCGACACCTTAGATATTGATAATAGAGTCGGCCGGATCAAGTCCAGGCTGTGTATGGCCTGGCCGGCCGACACCTCAGGCAGTGATAATAGAGTCGGCCGGATCAGGTCCAGGCTGTGTACAGGAAGGCAGGCCGACACCTCAGACGTGGACAATAGAGTCGGCCGGATCAGAACTAGGTTATGTATGGCCTGGCCGGCCGACACCTCAGACAGTGATAATAGAGTCGGCTGTATCAGGTCCAAGCTGTGTACAGGAAGGCAGGCCGACACCTCAGACGTGGACAAGAGAGTCGGCCGGATCAGAACTAGGTCATGTATGGCCCGGCTGGCCAACACCTCAGACAGTGATAATAGAGTCGGCCAGATCAGGTCCAGGCTGTGTACAGGAAGGCCGGCCGACCCCTTAGACATTGACAATAGAGTCGGCCGGATCATGACCAGGTCGTGTATGGCCAGGCCGGCCGACACCTCAGACAGTGATAATAGAGTCGGCCGGATCATGTCCAGGCTTTATACAGGAAGGCAGGCTAATACCTTAGGTATATATTGAACATAGACTTCTGCATATCTAATTGATGGGATTTTTGATAGACACAAACCTAGTATTATCAAGAAAGATGTTGGTTTTAGTACTATCCCTTTAGAGCTAGTTCATTCAAATTGCAATATCTGCAAGTATAAATGGGCCAGCTCTACAGTATGATGTAGGCAGGGTTCCTGACCATCATAACAATCATTTTTTGGCTAGATAAGTCTTTGATATTATAATAGCCAAGACTGTTAAGTGACTACAATCAACTTGTCTTTGAATGAATTTTCAGCATCCAATGCAAATCTTCCCCACAAGAGCACCTGTCGATGTGCATAAGCTTGATGACCGGGCTTTGTAGCTTGTTGGTATCTTTGGTCCCATTCTCCCATCCTGTATTTAAACCAACTCACTGTCCAACCCATTTCGTGTTGGACCAATCTCAACTCTTCCTCCCACCTTTGCCATCTAGCCTTAGCTTTCAACCAATTTACCCTGTAGACTAATACAGGTCACTTGCAGAACATAGACATATTAGATATGATTTACATTCATCCATCCACACATCTTCCTTCAAATCATGACCGTTGTTGACTCTCCAAAACCAAGCCAGTCTGTCTGATCCCTGCCCATATCTGTTCTCTTCAGTCACTTCCTTGTCAACACTGAGCTGGTGTAGCTGAATGTCTTGATAGATCGTCGTCAGAGTATCTTCATCAGCCCCTAGTCTCTGAATTGAACTCCTAGCCCTTTGATACCTTCGGACACACTTCTCTATCTTGATACGGCATTGAAGAGCCTCCTGCTTTGACCTGGTTCCTGTCCATGTGGAATCTGCACTTCGGAAATGCTGACGGTAAATTATTGCTTTATGACCGAGAGCTTGTCGCAACTTTTCCAAGCAATCATTCGCTTGACCCTTTCGTAACTCCAGTTCTTCAGCTTGCAGAGTGTGCAAGCCCAGGGCTAAAGCCTCATTTCGAGGCACTGAAGATGGCATCCAAATGGCCATGACTTCTGCAGGAACTGCCTCATCCATCTCTTCCAACACATCTTCAATATCTGCAGCCTCCCATACTTCCTCCACCGCATCTGAGGTGCAAAATCTAATGTCATCCACATGCTCAGTACCTGCATGGACTTCAATGCCCTCTGTCATAGCATCAGCAATTTCATGAAATTTAGAAATCCGAGCAGCCAGTTTTTGTCGTTTCTCTTGAAGTGCAGCCCTTTGAACAGCAGAAGCATCTTTGGGAAGCTGCCGAATAGCTATCCTCAGTGCATCCCTAGATATGAATTAGAAATACGTTATCACCATCAATATATGATGAAACAACATACTGCGAATCCTCTATATTGATGCCATCAATGAGCCAAGAAATTGATCCCAACTTTCCTGTATCAGCAAGTTCTGATTCTGTTAATTTTAGCCGCATTTCTGCCATTGTTGGTGCTTCCAATCACCCAATCAGAATGTACGACACATGGACCTGAATAGAAGCTTCGAAGTGCTCACCTTTATCTATTTTTAGCTGGTAGATGTCAAGATGTTCTCCGCGCTCATCCTTTGCCTTCTCCTCATCTTTTTCCCATGCCCTCACTTTGATGACATCCAAAGATCCGGTAAGCTCTTCAAACGGCAGCCTAGTGTCTTCAATGCCCTTGTTGGCCCGTTTGTACTTTCTCAAGAGCGTCTTAACTGCATCACTGTGAAACTGTGATGTCATTCATTCCAAATATAGGCACTTACCTATTCTGACAAGTTTTCTCCAATTTGAGTTACGCATGTGATCATCAAGAATTTCTTGACGGTGAGCTTGGCTCATAGAACGTGCTGTGGGAGATATCTTGTTAAAGGGAGCCCAGAGTGTCTCCAGAATTTCCCCATCAACTTGTCCAGCTCCTTGAATGAAGTTTAAGCTGTATCTAGCAAAACAGGCAAGTTTATGAGCGCTCAAGTGAAATTTCCCCACCGCAGCCACAATCTTGGTGTTGTCTGGGAGTGCCAAGCCAGGGCAGTTGGCAACACGTTGACCAAAGTTAAGGTTCCACTGACACCCCACATCATAGATGATCAGGGAGTTGTCAACGTTGCCAGCAGCGTGCTTTATGGCATTACAAATGGAATAATCTATATTCATGTGGCTGGAAGTGATTTTGTCAGCATGTCAAGCACAATGCTTGTCTTAGCCTAGATTGAGTAAATGAAAGAAAACTTGCCGTTCACCCTTCTGAAAGTCCACTATGCAGTGAGGAACAAAACAACCATGCCGAGCACAAGCAGTGGCACCAACCCCTGTAGCCCTGAGGTTGCTTCTGTTTGTGTTTGCTGCATTGACTGCCCGATGGTTGCTACACAAGGATTGCTTTCCACAGGTTTAGCCACCACTGACAATACAACACAATTTGAGTCACCTCTTTACTCTCTATAGCCGAAGTCAAGTGTGCTTGGTATTCTCTGTCTGTTACCATATAACCTAAACCATCTGACAGGAAGACGTCAAGCTCAGGCTGTCGCATGTTCATATGCTGAGCAGTAAAATTTCCATCTACCACCAATCTTTTCATAACAAGCCACCTGCAATCAAAAGTCAGCATCCGCATATAAGTCAGCTAGTTATATGAGTGATCTGGCCAGTATACACAAATAGTCAGCCGGCACCGACTCTGAGCTGTGTACCAGAGGTACCAGCCAGTCTACACAAATGGTCGGCTGGCACTGGCTCTGAGCTGTGTACCAGAGGTACTGGCCAGGACTCAGCTGACACATGTTATCGGCCAGGACCACTGCTGTGCTACGCACTGCTGGTACTGGCCGGAGTCTAGCAGGCAGGGATTTTGGAATTGACTTGCCTTTCATACTGTTGCTCCCAAACAAGAGGCATATTGATTCCGGGCTGTGGACATGAAGGGCAAAATAGGGCAAGATCTCCTGCACTAGGGGGCGCTTCCTTGTCATGGCCAAATCCAAACCATTTACGGTTCTTCAAGTCCCGCCAGAGTCGAGATACTCTCATGAGTTCTCGATAGCGATCCTACAGATGGGGTTTTGCATTCAGTATGAGCTAGAATTATGGTATTATCAGTTCCACTCACTGGGACAGTGTCCGGGAAAGCATTATTTGTCAGCCGTCTGATTTTCTCAAAGAAGCTCATTGCTGAAGTCTTGCATTCCAAGGCATCAATGAGAAAATGATCCAGTACCTCGAAGGTGAAAGCAGTCCTAGGGTGTGTGGTACTGGCAGGAAATAGTCCTGCTTGGAGCAGCTGCAGGTGATGTTCATGATGTGATCCTGGACATTGACACCATGACACATTGTGTGTGAACACCCCAGAAGAATGTACAATAATCACAGGAGTATCTTGATCAACGTGACTTTGTGCAACTCCATAGAAAGGGCAAGACTTTCCACCGTGGCCCATGTACCATATAAATCCTTGGTCAGCAAGAGTGTCGTCCTCGAAGCACTTGCCGTTCCACAATTGGATTTTGTGGAAAGGCAATGACTGATGTGATTTGAGGAGGCAAGGCTGACACCAACTGTGGTCGCCAGTGCAAGTTGTGCAATGGAAGGCAGCATCTTCACATTGGCAAGTCTCACAGATCCCTGTGGCAAATTTCTCTGAGTCCAAGATGACATCTAGATATGTGTCTCGGTGGGTGAGATACTCTGCTATGAAGTCATTTTGTGTCTATGTCATTTATGAGAAACAATTACTAGTAAGCCACGGCCTGTTAGATATACCTTTGTTTTTCTCCCTTGCTCAGGAGCCTCTCCGTCAATAGCAAAGTCACCAAACATTTCTTGGTTTAAATCATCTTCTGGGATGTCTGGTGATTCTGCATCTACTGCTCTGGCTCGTTTCCTTGGGCTGGTGGTATGCTCTGGCAAAGTTTCATACAGCGCATCAGCACAAGACTCAACCCAAGAGGGCTTTCCCTTTCTGTCTCTTGTAGGTTGGTGAGTAACATAATCAACATCCAGATCCTTTTTTTGTGATAACTTTCCTCTATCTTGGAAAGAATAAGAAATAGCCTTGAGACGCTGGCGTTTTTTTGAGGACATAGTGCTTAGACCGAGGAAAGATCCTGCCGTATGAGAAGTCAACCAATTTAATATCACAAGCTTTGTCTAATCTGGACATCTACTATTGGGAAATTACTCCCCTTCTCATTCTCTTATTTGATCTCCGAATGGCTTTTAGACCCCCCTTCTTACCTGCCCCCACTCTATTCAGAAAATCCCGCTGGTCCGGATACTTTGGTCTCGGTACACCAAGCCTATCGTGTACTTTATCCTTGACAAAGTGGGCAATTACAATTCTCTCCCCATCGCCCCACTTCGGCACCCCATGCTCCAGCACCTTTCCTAAAATGTAAACCATAGTGCCAGGGGGATATGCTAGCTCGGCACCCAGATCTGGCAGAGCTAGTATGGCATGGTGAGCTTTGCCAAGGCTCACCAAAAGGTCATAAAATGAAGGCGAATGCTCCAGGGTCTCGATGACTTGGGGTCTCTCGATTGACGATAACTTCCAATCCAGAAAACTCTGAGGGCCAGACAATGGGATCTGAAGTACGAACCATATCCTTCATATTAGCAACTGATTCCACGCCGGCCTGATATTGATCTGGCGCAATAACACTGGTGATAGCGGACCACAAATGTTCAGCTACCGTTATTTCGGACAACCACTCTCGGACCGCAGGTAAAGAAAGAGTGCCTGATTGGTACAAGTCATCCTGAAGCCGCTAGCCCATTTAAGTTAGTTCCGTATCACAGCAAGTATATTAATATGAAGTTACCTCATGACGTTGCATGAATCCTCCGGGGCATAAGGTCACCCTTCCTACTCCAAACTCTCCCCCACCTGAAGGCATGACAAATCCTTGAGAACGCCAAGGCTGCTTTGCCTTCTGAGTTGGCTTGGGCAAAGACTGATCTAAGGCAGGTCTCAGCAATTTGATGGACTGGTTGACACGATCCTAATTATAACTGATTAAAAGAACTTAAACTGTATTAATCAGACTCGTACCATTCTATCAGGCACCATGATTTCTGGCAAATACCAAGCGAGAATCCTTCCGTGCCTGTCAACAAATGTTGCCGGCTCTGATATTGAACCGAACGAAGGACAGTGGAAATATTTTGCTAGCTTATGTCTCTGGCTGTCAGCATGTGATGGGTGGGACGCCTTGGCACTATCTGCAAACCGATCTACATCTAAATCTGCCCGCACTATGGCAACAAAATGAATGACAGACCCCCCAACCATCAAATCAACACTCACGGGGATTAACTACAGCATGGGCTATCACGACCGCAGCTCTGGTAAGTTCAATCTCCGTAATGACATTTGCCGTGACATCGCTACCAGTACTGGACAGTAAGTCCTGCCACTTGGCCCACAATCTGGTCCTAAAATTCCAGCTGTTCAGTTTTGCCTGGACAGTGACATGAGACTCCCTTACCTGGCTCTTTGAAGCAAATTGTCATTGATTTTGTCACCTATCAGCAACTCATACGGCGATGAATCACGGAGTAGGTCATCTACATGCCCACGGAGGATCTTGGACAGAATTGTTACAGCAGGATCTGCCATTTGTCAGTGGTTGAAGTTTGGAAAAACAGACATTAAACGACGGAATGATAAATTTTTCAACCACAGACGATCTAGACTATAAATGGTTTTTAATTTAAGTCTCGATGTGGATGAAAAGACTTTGAAAGATCCAAATCGGGATAGCTTCTAAATTTGGGTGAAATTCAACGCCTACACTGTGAGGCTGTCGGACAGAATACACCAAGATCCCCCATTTCTTGGTGGTTGGAGTATTGAGAACAGAATTGAAATAGCAGAATGGGAAAATTTCTAACCAGGTGGTGTAGACTATATATGGTTTTTAAGGTTTTTGATTTACAACGTGCGATGCGGAGCAAAAGTGGAAGATCCAGATCAGGATAACTTCTAAACTGGACGGGGCCATACTATATGATTTGCGGCAACATACCATCCAAGCAGAGGCCTGTATTATGAAAGAAACAGATGAGAAACAGCAGTCTCAACTTAAGTTACATCTTGTCTTTTAAATTCAAGCTTTATGCTGACGGCAAGTAATAAACCAGTATGCTGCTCTGATTGTCTTCTAACTGAATATCAAATCTTCAGCTTCGGCTGGATTCAGTTAGAAGACAATCAGAGTAAGGGGTGAGGCGCAATTGCTACTTGCCAAAAGCCTCATCCCTTGCTCCGATTGCCTTCTAACTGAATCCAGCCTACATGCAGCTGGTATCTCAGGTATTTCACCTGAGTTGAGGAGAAGAGCAATCGTGTCTCACCCCTTACTCCGATTGTCTGAATACCAAATCTTCAGCTGCGGCTGGATTCAGTCAAAAGAAAGACAATCAGAGTCAGGGATGAGACGCAATTGCTCTTCTCCTCAGCTCAGGTGAAATACCTGAGATACCAGCTGCATGTAGGCTGGATTCAGTTAGAAGGCAATTGGAGCAAGGGATGAGGCTTTTGGCAAGTAGCAATTGCGCCTCACCCCTTACTCTGATTGTCTTCTAACTGAATATCAAATCTTCAGCTGCGGCTGGATTCAGTTAGAAGACAATCAGAGTAAGGGATGTATCTCAGGTATTTCACCTGAGCTGAGGAGAAGAGCAATTGCGCCTCACCCCTTACTCTGATTGTCTTCTAACTGAATATCAAATCTTCAGCTGAGACTGGATTCAGTTAGAAGACAATCAGAGTAACGGACGAGGCTTTGGCAAGGCCCACAGCATGTATCTCAGGTATTTCACTTGAGTTGAGGAGAAGAGCAATTGCATCTCACCTCTTACTCTGATTGTCTGCTAACTGAATCCAGCTGCAGCTGCATCTATTCTGTCATGTTCAAGACTAAAGGCGAGCGCACTGAGGGTACTCTCAAGCTCACCCCTATTTCAACAATATGCCGCGGTGAAAATTGGTGGACATTCTAAGTTACTGCATTCGGGGGTCACGTGACTTTTTCGCACGAACAAGGAACCTGACATCACGATTTCGTTGCAAATTAAAAAAACTAAGTTACATTTGGCATCATTGAATTGAAGAAAAAATAACAGAGCGCAAAAATCAATACAAGGCTGCCGCAGAGGGGCCCTCTCTGCGACAGTCTAGTACTGTCATAATACAGTAATAAAAAGTATGATAAAAAAAGGAATAGCTAACTATATAACATAATCTGCGAATGGCGCAATCAGTATTTGCAAAGAGAATATCAAACAGGTTACCTTTGAGTATCGGAGCAAGCCAAAAGAAACATATCTGTAAGCTGTGGTCATTGTTTTGAGAAGAGAGAGCGATGGGAAGTACCTTATGGTGGAGCAGGTGTCATCCTTCCGGAGAAAATACAATACAATAATGATGGGAGGAGGCGCACCAATGTGGACACTTAAACCTCCCAAGCGCAATGATGGTTGAAGGAGGGGCGCACCAATGTGGACACTAAATCCTCCCCAAGCCAAGCCCCCAGTACTCAATGGTAAAAAAGGGAGGAGAAGTGCGCCAATGCGCACATAGATCTCCTCCCCAAGCCAAGCCCCCAGTACTCAATGGTAAACAAAGGGAGGAGAAGTGCGCCAATGCGCACATAGATCTCCTCCCCAAGTCAAGCCCCCAGTACTCAATGGGTAAACAAAGGGAGGAGAAGTGCGCCAATGCGCACATAGATCTCCTCCCCAAGCCAAGCCCCCAGTACTCAATGATAAAAGAAGGGAAAAGTGCGCCAATGCACACATAGATCTCCCCAGTATATATAGATTGACTAGAAAGAAGGCGTTTAGTGAAGAGATTGTTGAAAAAAAAGACAGACCTTATATGTGGAGGCGCCCCAATAGCCTCCCCAGTGAATGGAAATTGACTAGAAAGAAGGCGTTTAGTGAAGAGACGGTTTAAAAAAAAGGATAGACCTTATATGTGGAGGCGCCCCAATAGCCTCCCCAGTGAATATAAATTGACTAGAAAGAAGGTGTTTAGTGAAGAGACGGTTGAACAAAAACAGACCTTGGATCTGCAGGCGCACCAATAGCCTCCTCAGTGAATAGAAATTGGCTAGAAAGAAGGTGTTCAGTGAAGAGATGGTTGAAAAGAGGCATACCTTAGGTATCCTTTCACCGGATGAACCAAAGAAGATCAACCTATACACCCAAATTAGAAATAGAATTGGAATTAAGAGACACATACCGCGCGGTAGAGAATGAGCGCTCAGTGAGTTGTGAGCCACTTACACAGCTGCAGTCTGTGTAGGTGGCTAACAAGGTGAGCGGATGGAAGAGATGTGGTTTGAAATTGAACCGTGTGAAATTGTTGCGCCTGGCTATATGTTACAACATATTTGATGTTGTTTGTCGTGGAAAATGCCGGCGTGACACGATCACATGACTGGTTGGTTTGAAAATTCGCAAAGTCCTTTGTACTGCATTGTTTGGCACGGAAAATGCCGGCGCAACCATGGACACGATCACATGACTGGTTGATTTGAAAATTCTCAAAGTCCTTTGCGCTGCAGTTGTCTTTATGCCACCTAGAAAGAAGAACACGGCAAAGAAGTCCTGTGGCGGTTCTGCCAAGAAACTTTTGGCACCTGTCGGCTCTCCTCCGGTGCCCGCTGCGTCACACGCCGAATCGTCCACGTCATC